AGAGTGCCAGCAATGAGGGCGGTGGCGTCTGCACGGGGTTTAAAAGCAATAATGAAACCTCTAAAAGTCGCTCTGCTTTTTATTATCACTCTGCACTGGCAGTTCTCACCGAAGCTGGCAATGAAATTACTCCTCCCAGTCAAAATCCTTCAGCAGTCCACGTTCTAAACAATCACTGCGGTTACCGTTAGGCTTGATATGAGATTAGCACATGTAAGAGGACATTAACTATGATAAACACTGGGTTTGACGTGGAAGTTAGTCCAGAAAACTTCATTGTATGCTTGGCTCCCAACACACCCAGACTCAACTACTACAAGTTCGGTAACCGTTTGGAAGGGTTAAACTCAACTTCGGTCCCTGGTGCTCCAGCCGGTGCTCCCCATACCCCTGCATTTGACAGCAGGTGCAGGACAAGCAGCTCCAGCTGGGTGACCCCCCAGAGAGCCAGAAGCCGGGCTCGAGGAGCCTCACGCCGGCTTGTGTGCATCACACATTCTGAACATCCTGGGTCCACTCTTCTGCAAGTGTTTCTTAATGTGCTCTTTTTCCTTTTACAATAACAATAATAATAATGATAATGATAATAATAATGTGACTTAAAAGTATTAATTCATTACTGTTTCCTTTTCCTATTTACAAAAGTATAATTTTGTATTATTTAGTTTGTTAGTTTTCACTGCCACGATTATATATGTGTATGTGGTTCAATAAAAAAACTTTCACTATCTGCTTTTCTTTTCTGCCCATTATCCTTATTATTCATTTTATTTAGGATTATTCATGTTGGTAGTTATGCTGCTTAGAGGAGGGGAGGGAGGGAATAGCTGCTGCACGCAGGCTCTGTGCCAGGTTGTACTCAGCCCTGACCTCCGCCGAAACTTGATGCTGACCCTAGGAGATGGGCTTTTGTAGTCCATTTTACAGGTGAGGCCACCAAGGCTCAGCAACAAGGAAAATGAACCCAGGCTTACACAGTTAATAAGTGGTAGAAGGAGGATTCAAACCGAAGGTCAGCTGGACTCCAAAGTGCATGTTTGAAATGCCAGTGAACATTGGGATGCTGCAAGGAGCAAGGCACGGGGGCGTGGGCCGTAGCAGTCAGGGAGAGCTTCTCGGAGGAGGGGGTGCTGGGATAGATGCCCACAGGGGAGGGCAGTGAAGCAGAAGGATATGTGAGGCGTCGGGGAAAGGTGAGTTTCCAGCCTGAGCTCTGTCACTCCCTGGCTGTATGGCCTTGGGCAAGTCCCATCTCTGCTGAGGCCATGGTGTTTTCTCTCTCTAGAGTTTTCTTTCTTTCTTTCTTTCTTTTTTAAAGATTTTATTTATTTATTTGAGAGAGCAAGAGAGCACAGAGGGAGAGGGAGAGGAAGAAGCAGACTCCCCGCTGACAGAGAGCCCTCTGCGGGGCTCGATCCCAGGACCCTGAGATCATGACCTGAGCTGAAGGCAGATGCTTAACCGACTGAGCCACCCAGGTGCCCCTCTCTCTGGAATTTTCAAAGGCCTAGGGTTCCACGTATCGGGATGAAGACAGTGGTCTGGGCAGTGAGCTTGGCTGGTGAGTGAGTCTGACTTTCTCAGCTCCATGTCTAAGAACTGGACCTCAAGGTCCCCTGGCCCACCCCAGCTACACCCTTGGAGGTCCATGTGGCATGATGGTTAAGAACATAGGCCTGGGTACTGGACAGGCCTGGCTTTGAGTCCCAGATCCACCATCTCCTTTCCCAGTGAGTGACCTGGGACAAGTCCCTTCTTGTCTCTGATCTCAGGGTCCTAAACCACAAAGTAGGATCATCCTATTGACCTCCAAGGGTAGTTGTGAGAATTAAAACAGCAATAACTGATATGTATTGGCTATCCTTATATGCCAATGCTGTCCTAAGAGTATTATACTGGTTTGTTCATTAAAGCTTCCCAACACCTCCGTGAAGCTATTCTTTTCATTTGCAGATGGGGTAACACAGAAACAGAGTGCTGATGTTACGTGCCCAAAGTCCTAACTCTGTTCTGCTTAGCTTGGCGCCTGTCCCGCAGGAAATGGTAACTCCTCCCGATCTAATTCTGACACACTGCCCCACGCGGGTATCTTACCATTTCTGGAATGAGGATGTGCCCCAATTGATGTCCAAGAAACATGCCAGTCAGCGGGCAGAGGGTGATTAGGTGTCCTCACTGTCTACTATCCGGTTTCTCAGGTGGCTGCAGTCGAGCCTGATGGAATTTTACCAGACCGGATCCCTAATTATCACTTAGAAAGACTTCTAAAATGACGCCACATGGAAACATAAGGCTAAGTGTACAGAAGGCCATTGCCAGCCAGGCAATGCAATTAGAAGTACAAATTGCCAAATTCATCCAAAGAAAGTTTAGACTCTGAATGTGAAGAACTTTGATCAAATTCCCAAAGGAGACAATTTTATATATAAAAACATACTATTGTCAGTCTTTTAAAGGCATACCTGATCTGCTTCTTTTTTTCATCAAAAAAGCTGTTATTTAACTGGATATAATATTTTCCTTTAAAAAATTATTTTACTATCGATGGTGTCGTAGAAACAAGTAAATCAGTCACTATTCTTCCTGTTGTAAGCAACAGAAAACCCACTTCAAACCGGCTATAAGTGACAAAGGTGTGTATTGGCTCCTGGACCTGAAAAGCCGAGGGTGGTTGGCTTCAGGCACAGCTCCACTGGAGGGATTGAGCTACATCAGCAGGCGGATCTCCCCGCCCCCAAGCTCTGCCTTCTCTGTCACAGCTCCATTCCCAACGGAGGCAGGATGGCTGCCAGTAAGTCCAGCCGCCAACCCTCCCGGGTTTTATGCTTCCAGATTTCTCAGCATTTGAGACAGATCCTGAACCTGACTGCTGTGGACTGGAGTTGGGTCACGTGACTACCCTGGTCAGCTCAGGGAATGGAATGCAGGCATTTCCCTGTCTGGTCACCTTCCTCCCCATGGAGTCAAGGATGGAGTCAGTTCCATTCACTGCACCTGGCTGAGGTGGAGGAGGGAGGTTCCACCCAAGGAAACTAAGGGGAACCCCAAGTAGCAGCCATACTTGGAAGACTGTAATTGCTGGTGATTGGAAGTTTCAGAGAGGTGACTCCTACTGGATCATCCACCTGACAGGTCAGGGGATCCCAGAAAGAAAAAGCACCACTGCTGGACCACCTGTCAGAGTGAGAAGAGTCCTTGGAGGTCCCTGGTGTGGCAGGAATGGGAAGCTAGAGGCCCATAGAGGGGGAATGACTGGTTCAACCTATAGGTGGGAATGAAACCAGAACACGAATCTCCTGTACCTTGGTTCTCCATCCAGTACTCCCAACTGGCCTGTGAGGGCCAAAGTGGGCTCTGGAAGGGGGCCTCCAGCTGCTTCATTACTCTTGAATGAGAAGCCCCTCCACTTCTCCTGGGACTTTCTCCCAGCAGCCTTGGTGGAGTGTCTTTGACAAGTCTCCTGACACCTGCTCTCTGGTCCCCACTGCACTGGGGTCTCCCCGTCTGCCTCAGAGGGAAGGGAGACGGGTGAGAAGTGCCCTAGATTCCCACAGGCATTCCCAGTCGTGGATGGCATCCATCTAAGGCCTTGATCTTACATAAAATGCAGTAAGCGCAGCCCCAGGTTGGTCCCTCTACCAGCTCCAGCTGCCCCATCCTTTCTGGAGATTCCGGAGCCACCACCATCCAGCCAGGCTGGGCCTGTCCGGTTTTTCCGTGGCCCTGGGCTCCAAATCTTCACTGGATCCGATTCTAAGAAACGTGCAGTGTCTTCACATCTTGTGTTCAAAGCAGGAAACATGTAGAGCCTGAACCTACCAGCCAGGCTGTCTGCGAACTTCTCTGTGGGAGGGGCTTGGGGGCTGCAATCTGATTGGATGCAGGAGGGGGCCTGTCTTTAAGCTCGGTGTGCATAAGCACATTTTATCTAGAGAGTGCGATTTGGCTAGAAGGGCCTCTGATCGAGATTAGGAGGGGTTTAAGCACCCATCGGTCCACCGGATTGTCATCATCAATTTAAATTAGAGGAAGCCGGGGCGCCTGGGTGGCTCAGTCGTTGGGCGTCTGCCTTCGGCTCAGGTCATGATCCCAGGGTCCTGGGATCGAGCCCCACATCGGGCTCCCTGCTCGGCGGGAAGCCTGCGCATCTCCCTCTCCCACTCCCCCTGCTTGTGTTCCTGCTCTCGCTGTGTCTCTCTCTGTCAAATAAATAAATAAATAAATAATTAAAAAAAAATAAATTAGAGGAAGCCGACTTAACTCAATGACCGGGCTCCAGGGTCGGGATCCAGGCCCCTGAGCTGGTGGGGAAGACGGGGTGGGGCGGGGCGCACGGACATGATCTTCCCAGCATGGCAGGACTTTACACGGGGATAACCGTGGGCTGTATTTATGACGTAGAAAGCTGTCAATGATATAAGTGAAAAGGAGAAAAATATGAGAAAGTATATACAGCGTGCCTGTGTGTGTGCCTGTGTATGTATGCGCGGGTGTGTGTGTGTGTGTGTGTGTGTGTGTGTGCAACAATGGTGGTTAAGAGCTCAGGATCTGGAGCCAGATTGCCTAGGATCAAATTTCGCTTTCACTTCTTCCTTACCTTGGGCATTTTACTTAAGCTCTCTGCCTCCATTGCTTCATCTGTAAAAAGGGCTAAATAATAGGGTGAGGTGAGGATCCTAGGAGATAAGCCACGGAAGGCGGTGAGGCAGGTCCCGGCAGACAGTAAGGGCCCCAACGGTGGCAGCCGTTAATCTCGTTGGTCCCCGGCGCAGGGGCCTCGTTCGCACGGTGTTGGTGGCGGGGCGGGCCGCACCCTGCCTCCGGAACCGGGGTCCCCGCTGCTGCCGGCTGCCCATTGTTGCGCCTTCCTGCTCTGGCCCGCCTGGGAATCCGCCGGGGCAGCTCCGGCCCAGGCGGGGAGGGCATCCGGGCCGCGGGCGCCCTCCCCCACCGTTCTGGGCGCCCCGCCACGCCCCTCCCGCCGCGAGGGCCCGCCCCGGGACGTGAGCACTGGACTGCGAGTCCCGGGACCTCAGTCCTACTCGGCCCAGTGTCCTCTCTGGCCACACGGAAGCCAGCGGAGAAGCCCACCCCCCTATGGGCCGCATAAGGGTTAAGTGAGATCACGTGCGCACCAGGCCGAGCTCCGCACCTTGAGCCCGTCTGTCCTCAGGTCCTGTCTTGCTCAGGTGGGCTTTCAGAATGCTGCTCGCCGCCGGGGGCCCAAGGGGTCCCATGCATCCCCTGGTGTCTGGGCCTGGTTGGATTTCTCAGATCGTGCCGCCTCCGCTACCCCGCGCAATGTTTCCCCAGCACAAGGCAAAAAGTGGGTGAAAGGGCTGGGCAGCTTTCCCAGGCTGGCAGCCGCCAGAGCCAGGATCTAGAGTGCTTGCATCCCGGCTCTGCTGCTGAACTGCTGTGTGACCTTGAGCAAGGCCTTCCTCCTCTGAGCCCCCAGCCTCCCTCCTCCAGTGGCAGGGAAGGCAGGTGTGGTCCCTCGCTCTGGCTGCCCCCTGGCTGGCTGGCTGGGGTACCATGGAAGGTGTTTGATCCCCTGGGCTCAGTTTATCTTATCTGCAAAACTGTTCCGCGGGCATAGATTCAGCAGATAACTCCTGGTCTTGGGAGGCTTCTTTCTTGTCTTTCTGCCACCTCTGCCCTATTTCTCTGCTCCGAAGGGGAAGTATGCCACCGGGGCTGGCTACTTGAGTCTTCCAAGGAGGAATTCAGCCTCAGCATTGTCCCTCCGCACTGGGCAGGACCAGGACCCGCTTTTGATACTGGTTCTCCCCACCTCCACCCTGGGAAAGAGAGAGACCTTTGCAGCCGTAGGTTGGCTTTGAGTGGCCCTGGTGCAGGAGGGAGCCTCCTGCCAACAGAGGGAGTTTACTCAAGATTTAAGGAGTGGAAAGGAATTGGACCTTACAAAACCTAGCCCTATTCTTAGAGTCCTGCGCTCTGCCCTCCAGGCATGTGGCGGGATGACACTTTTCTGTCGCTTTGAGATTGGGCGGGGTCATGTGACCAGCCATGGCCAAGGAAGTGTGCGAAGTGACATTTGTCACCTCAGGTGGGAGCACTATTACCAGGTGGAGACCCTCTCCCTCCTCCGTGAGGTGGCTGCCGCTCCACGGCCCTGGGCCCTGGAGGGAGAAGGGGTAGAGAGCCCTCCAGCCCTGTAGGGATGGGCCACCTGCCTGAGAAATGACTTTGTGTCAGTAGCCGCCAGGATTGGGCGTTGTTTGTTACCGCAGCGTGACCCAGCCACCCTTTGACTAGCACACACCTCCAGAAAGCAAAACCGGGCTGGAGGTGAGCGACGGCACGCACGACGTCTGTCTCTGAAGACCTGTTTCGTGTTCTTTCAGGAGATGGTCAGTCTGGGGCAGCCACAGAGGAGTGTGGATTTAAGTCATCTCTACACCCAGGGTGAGCCTCGAAGTCACCACCCTGAGATCAAGAGTCGCATGGTCTACTGACTGAGCCGGTCAGGCGCCCAGAGGGGAGTTTCTTATACTCAAGGCTCCTAGAGACCCTTTCCTCATGGAAAAGCACTGGGGTAGTCGGGAGGCAGAAGATGGGGGGGTGCTTGGGCCATGCCTTTATTGGGGTTTCCATGGGAAAGTCAAGACAGGGTAAGGTGGGCAGTTTGGGATTGCCTAGTTTGAATGATTTCAGTGGGCTCTGGGCTCTACGGGTGGTCTCTAGTTGCCTGATAGCTGGCCGTGGGTTGATTAAGGAGAGGAATATTGCTTCCTGGGCCTCACGGGCCTGATAGAGGAGGTCTGGCCCTGGATCTAGAATACCAAATGCCCAAACCAACAGTCTGTGGTGCCTCGGGACCAGCACGGCCCCGGACGACGCTGGGTTGGCCCTTTGTTGGATCTTAGCACATTTGACCTGAGCGGCTGAGACTGCTTGTTGCCCACCCAATATCTACGTTCCCTTGGTTCCTTCATAACAGAACCCCAATATTACCTGGCAGCCCAGCCAACAGACTGCATTTCCCAGATCCCCATGCAGCTGTGTGGCTATGCAATTAAGTCTTTGCCACCTGACTAAGTAGGTGGGCTTCCTGTAGGAGGCCAACTCAGCTGGAGATATGGTGTGTGTTCTGCTCCCTCCTTCCTGCTGCCTGGACGGTAGCTGGCATATCTGCAGGGCCGACAGCCGTCTTGGGTGGTACAGGGAGTACACAGTGAGTGTGAAAACTCTGAGCAGTGGGAGGATGTCGCATATAATGAATGCCTCATAAAGTATCCTGTAATAAATGGACTCTCCATCAAGGATGTGCCATGGGTCTCATGTGGTTTTGTGCCTGGCCAGAGAAGCCCCGCAGTATCAGCTAAGTCACAGGGACCCTGAAAGAGGGTGTCTCTGGGTAGGTTGAGGGGACTGGAGACATTTTCTCCAGCCACAAAGGAGAGCAACTAGGCACATGGGGAAGTGGGGCTCTGAACATACATTCTAGGGCTTTCTTCACCTTCATTCTGCCCCAGTCCCGTGGAACCCACGTACCCCCACCCTACAGCCTTCGCTGGGGCTACCTCTCTGCCAGGCAAATGTAATTAGAGGGAGGGGTTTTCCCACCTGGCTTTCCATTCAGCCTTCGAAAGGGTGGCCAGGATGTGGGGCAGAGAGGGAGAGAAGCCCAGTGGGGAGAGAACCCCGACTGCACTGTGAGCCAGACAGGCACCCCAACCACACTAGGGTTTCCCATCTATAAAATGGGGCAATAACACCAGCCCTACTCCCCTCTCAGGATGCCGAGGGCTTATCCTCCTCTGAGCGAGGAGGCCTGCAGGAGGCAGGGGACAGACAAGCTTGCAATCTGGCTTTGTGGGCTTGTCTCAGTCACCGGAAGCACAAAGCAATGACATAGGTCCTGGCGATCAGGAGGCCTGGCTCACGTGTCTGATGGACTTGGGCTCAATGGTGCAGCCCCCGCACTCAAAGGAGCCTGAGCTTTTTCATTTGTAAACTGTAGATAGGGATTGAAGATGAAGGATGTGAACCACTTAATGCTGAGCTCTCAAGAACCGCTGGGTCTTCCCTGTCCCTGGTCTGCGTGGGCCTCTGCCATTTTCATTGGCTGCCCTGTGTTCAAACCCCTTTCCCATGTCAGGTGAACCCCTCCACCTAATGGGATGCTTCCAGTAGAGGAGCCCCAATGTACCAGCATGCTTTGCAGTGAGGCTCTCCCAGTCACAGCCCCCTCACAGACCTTTGAAGGAATCCATGACCCAAGGAGGCGGGGGCACCCAGCCCCATTCTGGTGGTGCCTACCTCCAGTTTTGGGAGTCATCAGGGACAGAGAGGTCTGCAGGGACTGACCAAGTGTCAGCAGGACAGGTTGCCATGTCAGTGTCCCACGCAGGAGCTGAAGCCAAGAGAACTCCCAGCTGGGTTCTCTGACTCGTAGAGCCCATCGGCTCCCCAGGGGTGTTCAGTAAGTTCCTCTCCTGCTTGTGTAACCCACAGTCAGTTTCTGTTGACTGCAACCACAAACCCCAGCTGACTCCCCTCCCCAGGCCCAAATGCTGACCCTCCCTTTCAGGCTATTCTCTGAACCACTAACCTCCCTTTCGGGCTATTCTCTGAACCGCTACCCCAAGTTGCTTGTGTGTTTAGTTGCTTTTTCTGTGCCCTTGGACAAAAAGCAGGGCTTGAGTAACCAGCTTTTGCTAGGAAATTACAAAATTAGACCCAGGCCCAGACGCAGGGTGGTACATTTACAAGAGTACACATTTGCAAGGGGAAAGCAAGGAGTTCTGGGTTCAAATCCCTGTCCTATGACTTACCGCATGTGTGACCTTGGGCCCACAGCATACCTCTGGGCCTCAGTTTCCTTTTCTGTTACAACACTGCAGCAGTTGTTTTTTGATATGTTTTGGGGTTTCAGGGAGATCAGGGATGGGAAGCCCCATGCTGTGTGCCCCATGCCTAGCACATTGTTGGCATTGGATTGAGAAGAAACTGGGTCAAGAAGAAGGAACAAAGCAGTAATACTCATGTAGTTTATGTCAGAATCGCCTGAGACGTACATCAAATGCAGATCCTCGGGCCCCTCTCCTAAAGTTGGATGTACCAAGGCTGAAGGGTCCCTGGGATCTGTGTTTTTTTAATATTTTATTTTATTTTTTAAGATTTTTAAAATTTATTTGACAGAGAGACAGCGAGAGAGGGAACACAAGTAGTGGGAAAGGGAGAAGCAGGGTTCCCACGGAGCAGGGAGCCCGATGCGGGGCTCGCCTGAGCCAAAGGCAGACGCTTAATGACTGAACCACCCAAGTGCCCCTATATTTTATTTTTTAAAGTAATCTTTATACCCAACGTGGGGCTCAAACTCACGACGCCAAGATTAAGAGCTGCCCCCTCCACTGACTGAGCCAGCCAGGTGACCCTCTGATTTGTATTTTTAACACGCATGCCCACTAGAGGTCTGTGCTGCAGATGGCTGGGACCACCACTCTCGGAAAAATATAGGATCCAATGGGGAGCAGAATGGAGGTGGTGAGGGCCCAGATGGCTGGGCCGACACAGTAGTGGGGTGTGGGGTCCCTGACATTAGCTTCACTCTCACTAGAAGCTTCTACAGTAACCATGTCGGGGATAGTCCAACCTGGATTTATGTTCCAGAAAGGATGCAGCTAATTTATGTATGTTTGATCTTTGACCACATTTACAACAATAATGGATACATTTTTTCTCACTTGGATAAGGCAATAATCCAGTAACGTGGATATTGTAAGTCCAAATTTAGTTAGCACTTCCCATGAATCAGGCATTATGCAAGTACTTTTGTCTGTGCTAATAAATACAAAGTGAAATTATTTTCCCAGCTCTCAGGTGGGAAACTGAAGCCCAGAGAGATAAAGTCACTTGCACGAGGCCACACGGCCCGAGTAGGGATTTGAGGGCAGGCAGGCTGGGATTCCACAGCCCATACAAGAAGCGGTGCCCCTTCAAGATATCACCATGGGGTATTGTGAGGGAGTTAGTGGCTGGGGCCTCAGGCAGGTGCAATGGGGCTGAAGTGTTGGGTGGGACCGAGTGGGGGTGTGAGGAGTGTGGGACGTCAGCCCCCCAGATCTCTGACTCACTAGGGCCACTGGCTACTACCGGGAAGATCTCTGACTCAGCTGCTCGGGGATGGCAATGACTCTGAGCCCAGGCAGCTTTGTTCAGTTCACGGCCAAGGCCTGGCCTTATCACTCAGGCTGTGTGGCCTTGGGCAAGGTGCTTCGCTCTCTAAACCTGAGGCCCGCTGGGAAGAATGTGAGATCGGATTATGCCCTGCGCCCAGCATGCAGAGAGAGCTCGGCGAACAGCCCAGCGGTCCTCATACAGTGAGTGGTAGGGGTGCAGCCGTGGCCACCTCACCTGGCTTGCACTGCACCCCCGGGGTCCATGCCAAGTATGAGCACACAGCTGGTGCTTCTTTCTGCCTGGCAACCATTCCCCCCTTCTTCCAGAAAGAGTGCTTGTGTTTTCGCTTGAACCAGATGACTTGTGTTTCTGTAACTTGCAGCCAGACTGACTCCATGAGGAAGTCAGAACCCGGCATTTGCTGCGTGTGAGCTGTGTCCTGGGCTCTGTCCATGCTTCCTTCATCTTACCCTCAGGACAAGCCTGCAAAGTGGGTACCACGACTCCCATCTGTGGGTGGGGAAACGGAAGCTCAGAGAGGTGTACAACTCGTGCTACGTCACAGACCTAGGCCCCGGATCCGATGCCCCAGAGCAGCCCATCTTTTATTTATTTATTTTTTTTAAAGATTTTATTTATTTGACAGAGAGCACACACAAGCAGGGGGAGTGGGAGAGGGAGAAGCAGGCTTCCCGATGCAGGGCCCAATCCCAGGACCCTGGGATCATGACCTGAGCCAAAGGCAGACACCTAACCGACTGAGCCACCCAGGCGCCCTGAGCAGCCCATCTTTTAAACAAGACTGAGCCACTACGTTTGTAAATGACCCACTTTACTAGGAGGGGCATTCATTCATTAAGCAAGCACCACGTCCTACTGTGGGCCAGACATGGTGCTAGGCCCTAGGGATAAAGACCCTGCAGCCGAGCCCCTGCCCTCAGGGAGTGTCCATTCCAGATGGCACAAAGGTGTCCCCCCACGGGCCAAATCCAGGTGGCAGTAGCTGTCGGCGACATTATCGTGAGAGGATCCTGAGCCATCTGTGGGTTCACCAGGAAGCGTGGTAGTGGCTGACTACTCAGGGCCACTGGGGCGCTCCTAGGGAGTTTCTGAGTGTGCACTGCCTGGTGGACACCTGTGTCTTAGACTTCTGAAGATTCATACGAACATAGAACACAGCGGAATATAACCTGGTCCGAGCTCAAGCTCCAATTTTTATTTTGAAAACAGCTGCTGTCCATCTAAAAACTAGGCCTTGTCCTCTTGGAGCTTCAGGTCTAACCAGGAGCCTGACCTACACAGGACAGTCCGATCCGGAAGTCAGAGGCGGGGGAAGCCAGACGGATGGGGATGACCAGGGGGCCTTCCTGGAAGAGGAGCTCAGGGGTCTGGCAGGGGCAAGGGAGGCATTCCAGAAGTAGTGGGCAGGCACGGGGATGGAAGGGTGACCCGGGTGTGAGGTGGGGATAGAGCCTCTGCCTGAAAAGGCAGTAATGGGGGTGGCCCCTTGTCGGGCCTGGAAGCTTAGTCGTGAGCCTTCCGTAGGGAGCCACTGAGGACTGTGAGCAGGGGCATGCCCACGAAGACCCTCCCGGGTGGCCGGATGCAGGGGAGAAAGTGAGAGGGGAGGTGCCGGAACACCACGGAATGGAAGGAAGCCCCTGCATGTAGATGGGGGCTCGGGGCCCGGACCTTGAGCCCCAGCTCTGTGCTGACATGCCGTGTGACCACAGGCAGGTCCCTTACCCTCCTGAGCCTGTCTGCTCCTCCACCTCCTCTCAAAGGCCCTTTCAGACCAAGTGAACTGAGGTGTGTGTGACTGTGTGTGTAGTGGGGGGGGGGGTTGTCACGTGGTTCCATTAGCATCACTATTTTCTACTTTTCTTTGGCCTTGAAGACCTGGCCTAGGACGGGTCTGTCACCCATGGCTTACCTCCTGCTTCAGGCCCGTATGGCTCAGCCCTCCGGTGTATCTATACCTCAGCTTCCAGTGGCATTTGTCTCATGGCCTTGGAGGTGCTTTCCAGCTGTGACTTGAGCACTTAGCAGGGAGGACATGGACCACTGAGATGAGGCTTTGAAAGCACCATTGGCGGCCACTGCCTTCCTCGCTGTTGGTCCTGTGAGGTTTCCTGGGTAGGACTCCTGGGGGGGCTGGTGGTGTCTCCTCCGTGGGGCCGCAGTCAGGATGGGACGCCCAAGGCTGGTGCAGCTCTGCCCGGGCTCGTCCCGGGGACCGTGACAGCGACCTGCCTGGCCCGTGAGCAGTCCTGATACTCACCCCGCCCTGGGTGGGTGCCCTGCGTCACTCCTCCTGGGACTGCCTGGCACACAGGTCCCCAGTCCCACCTCAGGCACCAAGTGTGACAGGCACCTCTGCCCAACCAAACGCACGGGACCTAAACGAAACCCCCCTCACCTTTTCTGTTTACTTTTGATTATTTTGGGGGAGAGGTAATACATTCAAAATTTAAGAGGGACCAAAACCAGTACTATATGTACTATAACCAAATCCCCTCCCGGCCCAGAACCACAGCCCCTTATTCCTCTCCCTGGAGACAACCAATCTGAACTTTTTAAAACAAACTTAATTTGCTCCCCCCTTAGAACAACTGTAAGCACTCAAAGCAAAAACTAACTTCAAACCGAACCCAACCCAACCCCCACCACCGTGGAACACACATCCAGACTTTCAGCATTTTATTTATTTTTTTGAGGGGGGGAGGGGCAGAGGGAGAATCTTGAGGTTGCACGCCCACTGCGGAGCCCAACACGGGGCTCAATCTCATGACCCTGAGATGACAACCTGAGCCAAAATCAAGTAGGACACTTAGCTGACGGAGCCACCCAGGCGCCCCCAGACTTCCAGTGCTTTAGTAGATGTCCTCAGACTCTTTGCAACACATATCCACTTTCCAAAACATGAAGCCAAACAGAAGATCAGAATCACAATCTTGATTTTTCAATCTTTTTTTGTTTTAAAGATTTTATTTCTTTATTTGACAGAGAGAGACAGCACAAGAGAGGGAACACAAGCAGGGGGAGTGGGAGAGGGAGAAGCAGGCTTCCCGCTGAGCAGGGAGCCCGATGCGGGGCTCGATCCCAGGACCCTGGGATCATGACCTGAGCCAAAGGCAGACTCTTAATGACTGAGCCACCCAGGAGCCCTGATTTTTCAATATCTTGCCAACGTCTTGGGAAGTTGTCCTCGTGATTTTTCCTTCAACGACATTAATAGCTTTGTGATCTTCCACAAATATGGATTTGTTTAGCCAGACCCCAGAGATGGGCACTGGGGATTTCTAAGTTCCCTATTATGGGCTCTGGGACTTCAATGTCTATTTGTTTACCGTAATAAATTACTAGAAGGGAAATGCTAGGTCACAAGTTATGGCCATTTTTTAAGGCCCTGGATGCCCCTCAAACTGTCCTCATGTTCAGCAGGACTGGATGTCCAATCCAAATCCTCAAGGTCAAGAAATCTTGGTTCCCACCCCTCTCACCAGCGGCTGCAAGCCCCTAACCCCACCTCCACATCTTGACTAAGGCCCGAGGCCTCCTCTGGGCCCAGTGACTTGCTTTGTTTCTACACTCACAGGGCATTTACCTAGGTCCATCTGGGTGAGTCAGCTGACTGGGGAGCGGGCACCACCCTTCCCAGAGCAGGAACCTGGCTGGGACAAGGGCCACCCACTTCCAGACTCTCTCGGCAGTGACTGGCGGAGGACGCTCGGCAGCACCCAGCTGGCAGGTAAGAGCTGGGGCCCACATTACCCGGAATCAGGTTAGTGAGGCTGGGTCTTATGCCATCTGGCCGGTCCTGACCCTTCTGGGGCCTCCCAGGCAGTTTTCTTTCAAGGTGCCTCCCTCTAGGGGCATAGTATGAACAGGGGTCTCCTTCTCTGACCCCTGCCCTGGGTCAGGTTTGAGGGCTGAGCGATCTTTATCCAGACATCATGGGGGCCGCAGGCTCCTTGTTACCTCCTGTGGCAGCGCTCAGGAGATGCGGCCCACACCCTGCTCCTTGAAGGGGACATTTGGAAGGCCATGCAGAGTGGATTTCCACAGGGAATGGAGAGTATATGCCTCAGTTTCTGTTACGTCTCTGCCCGCAGCGGTTTCCACCCACTACCCTAAGTACACGAGAAAAAAATCTGCTGGGGAATGTGGCCGGTGGCTTGACCTCTCTCAGAACCGGTTGCCTCGTGTGGACACTGGAAACATCCCACACAGTCGGGAGTGCTGACTGAGCCAATGGAACTCAGGGGGACAGTCTGTGCCCCTGCACACTGCAGAAAATGGAGCTTCAGGCGAAGCTGCTCTGCGGGGGAAGATGCTGGACTGGCTAGTTACGTAGGGGGCGCCGAACTAACGAAAACAATTGTTCTTGTTTTTAAAGAGTTTTTCTTTGTTTTACATTTTCGATTTCCAAACTAATAACAATTCTCACACCACCATCACCATCACTGCTCCCCGGGGCTCCCTGTGTCCACCCTTGCCCCTCTGGTCTGTTCTCCCAATGTTAGCCAAAGGGGAGGGGCTGTTAAAATGTAAGCTGGACCATGTCACTCTGCTGCTCAACGTTCTCCAGTAGCTCCCATCTCGGCAGAGTAAATGCCGAATGCTGGCCATGGCCCCCTGGGGACCTGGCCCACACACATCCTATCCCACCTCCTCACCACTACTCCCCCTCTGAACAAGACTCCAGTCTCATCGGCCAGATGGTCTCTAAACAAGAGGCACCCCCACCTCAGGGCCGCCGCAGTGGCCATGCCCTCAGCCCTGATGCTCTTCTCTACCCCTCTAGACTTTTACACAAGCCACTCGTCACTCCTGACCCGCAGTGAGGCCCTTCTGGACCTCTCAACACTCTACCCTCCTTCCTGCTTTATCTTTCTCCCGATGACTTCCTACCACCTAACACAGCAAACACACTTCTCTAACCAGCTAGAAAGAAACCCTCACGGACAGACTTTCCTCTTGCTCACTGCCTCAGTACCTAGAACAGCACAGGGCCTTAGGCGCTCAGTAAATGTCCTGAATGAACAGCTAACGATGACTGCAGGCCCTTTAAGTGGTAGGTACTGTGCTAAGTGAGCTCCATATATATCTTCTCTCTTTTTAAGGATCTTTAAATCTTCATGATAACTCTGGGATGCAAGTACTGTTACCCATATCACAAAGGAAGAGATGACACTCAAAAGGGACTTGTCCATGCTTGCTTTCACAAATTAGAGGCAGCAGTCTAAACCCAGTCCTGCCTGCCTACCAAGTTTTGCTCCTACTTTGCCCCTCAGGGGCCTGCATTCGGGAGCATCTGCATTCCCCACAGAAGCTCCCAGCTTTTCTCCAGCAGGCAGTACAGCCCTGAAGAGAAGGGGGTATATGCTGGTGGCCTAGCAACAGCCTCTTCCTTTCTAACTCACCACATCACATCCCTGGGCTAATGTGGCCTTCCAGGAGCTATTCCTCTGACACTCTAACCCACGCTTCCCTCCCGCACACACTGTCTTCTGAAGGATGGATGAGTTGTCCACAGGAACAAGTAGGAGTCCCACAGTTTCAGCTCTTTGGAACAAGGTGTTCCAAAGGAGTGTTCTCATTCCAAAACCCAAAGATGGGAGCTGATGACCCCTTTCAGCCCTGCTGATCTCCAAGGACCTGACTGCTGGATTGCTGTGGGTGGTGTTACTGCTTTTATCAAAAAATACAGAGAAGTTCAGAGATGGAAATTCTGTAAAGTGCAGGGGAAAGGAAAATTCCTTTGAGAGAGATGGGTTATTTTCCTTTCACAGGAGCCAATTAATTGCAGGAAGCCAGCACTGAGCTGAGGGAACTCTTTCATTGTCAGATTGTAGGAAGCAGCCTTTTAATCTACCTCATTAGGGCAGTGGGGTTTTTTTCTCCCTTTCTAGGCCCAGAGTTTCTCTTCAAAGGACTTTTTTTGGGGCTTTCTCTTCCTTCTGTGTCTTGCTTTCCCATTCCTTTAAGAAAGAGTAACTGGATTCCTGCCCTGTGCCAGACACTGGCCTCAGCACTGGGGAGGGAAACAGGCAAACAAAAACACAGAGGAAATTCAATCCTAGGGAATGCAGAAGACCTGGCTCACAAAAAGTGTATAATAAACATGAGCGGAATGAAGGATGAATAGGTGAATATGAGGTTCTGGGGTCTAGAGAAGGGAGGTCAGCCTAATTCTGAGAGTGTGTGTGAGTGTGGGTATTTGGGGGAAAGCTCAGAATTGGGGGAACAGGAGTTCACCAGATGAATGAGAGGGAGGGAGAAGGCGTGAATGTCATTCAAGACAGAGGGACAGGCACCTGAAAAGGCAGGGAGGCATGAACTAGGAGTGTTGAGTTCTAGTGTCAGCAGGCAGTCTGGAATGAATGAAATGTAGGGTGAGTGTGGAAAAGTGAGGTGTTGACTGCAGATGGTGCCAGGAATCAGGTCAGGGAGATCTGAATGCCAAGCTGAAGTTTAGAGATTTATCCTGAGGGCAAGAGCTGGGTAGGGCTTCAAGAGCAGAAGCTGAGGTTAACTCCTAGATTTCTGGCTCAGACCAGGGGGTGGGCTTGGTAGGGCAGCTGTAGAGGGGCAGCAATGCTAGGAAAAAAGGAGTTCAGTATGAATAACCTGGGAGGTGTTAAAGATCCGGAAGACAGCTGGACTCTTGGGTCCGGGCCTCCCTATCCCTGTAGTAGCACATTCCACACCCACTCTCCTGAACCCTCCTTCCTCCCTTCCTCCCTTCCTTCCAGAAGGCTTTCCTGGTCACCCTAGCCTTTTGTCCTGCACTCCGTAAGCCTAACTGCCTGAATCCCCCATAAAAAGCAGTGGGTCCAATTCTGTTTTGGGAAGTGATCTGCCTGGCCAGGCACAAAACCCCTACTCTGGGTAGCGGGGCTCAATCACTCAGCTACTCTCGGGTGGGATCCCCGGGTGAACCCGCGCAGAGTGGGGGCGGGGCACTTGCAGCTAAGCACCTGGTCAGAAGTCGGGGCCAGGCAAAAAGAAAACAAACAAACAAACAAACAAAAACAAAACCTAGTGGGAGGGTCAGTGATGTCACAATGGGTAGGAACTGAAAGCGCTTCGGAAAGCTTACCGGGCGAAGGGGCTTCTATTCCAGCAACAGGCATTGGGGAGCGCAGGCGTGTCTATACCCTCCTTCCCTCCCACGGCTGCCTTAGAAACAGAATCTCATCAGCCAGCAGGGAGCGGATCACCCGTACCCTCCCTCCTCTGGAAGCCGTAAATGGTCCTCTAGGGTCGGGGGCGTGGGGGGATACTCGCCGCTTTAAAGCTCGATTTGTTCCGCGCGGCCTCCAGTCCAGTAAAGAGGGGACAAGGGGCCCGATCGAGCCTTCCCATCCCTTACTCTGCTGCTTTACCTGACTTCTTTTTGTGGGTGACAAAGCCAGCCAGAGGCACCTGGAGAAAGCGAGAGGCCTGGTGGAGTCTAGCAATCCAGCCAGCTACCGACCCGCCCGACGAGGAGGTCGCCATGTTTCACCCTGCTGCCGCGGGGCAACCTGGGAACCATCCGTAGCAGCGCGCAGGCCTGGGTGGGTGGGACGCATGCGTTTTAGACGCCGCAGCGCGCCCTAGCGGCCTGGCGGGGACTCTGCGCAGGTGCTGTAGCCCGGAGCGACCGGGAGACGTCACTTCCGGCCGAGTTCCGAGCGAAGGGTGTGTCGGAGTGGGAGTAGTTTGGCGATTTTTGAGCGGTGCGACAGGAAGGGAAACTGAGTCCTGGGGTGAAGAACAGGCTCTACGACCCGTGGGGCATTGCGCGGTTCCCGCATTCATGGACTTTGTGCCTGGTTGCGCAAAGCGAGAAAACAGACTGAGGGAGGAGGCGGGTTCGTCCCGAACGTTGGTTCCGGGTGGGTGAACCAACATGATGCCCTGTCGTTATTATACAGGCAAAACACGGGCAATGAAAGTAATTTATAGTAGAAGAATATGCCCTTCACTTTGCAAAAGCTGAAAGAGGATTACACCAGATCGTGTTTGTACCTAACTCAAACCGAGTAAGTTTGGATTTAAGAGAAGACGGTATTCAACTGAATTTTGCCACAGTTTGTATTTGACGTCTCCAATCAAAGGCTAAGTATTTGTGTACAGGTGTGGAATTAGTACGACAGCCACAGTGCAGGCACAGATGGGCGTGTTCTGGTGACTCACCTCTGGTGAGAAGGATTGACACTGATTTTCCAAAATGGTGAACAAAACAAAGTATAACCTCCCTTGATTAACCTGATATATGCGTGTTTGGATAACATACTGCATATTGAAACCAGGAAGTACTGTATTTGTATATGAAACAGGTTACAAGCAGGCTTTATGCCCACGTGAAGGTTTGGGAGGACAGTTTGTTGTGGTGAACGTTCTGCGTGTTCCAAGAAGTACAGATATCTGTTCGCTGCTTCCTAAATGTTAGTAATGTCCCCTCAGTCTTATGACACCCAGAAATGTCCGCAGAAATTTCCAGTCTGTTCTTGGAAAACTACTGTTTATTCAAATAACAATTTTTGCCACCGTGCACGTTTGCCGTTGCTGTGGTGGGGAGGTGTAGTGTGTGGTCAACGGGATACGGCCCCTGCCTGCCCTTGTGAGGCGGGGTCCGGTGTGAGAAAATACCCAGATGTCAATCATGTAATATGATAAATAGCTTGGCAGTAGAGAGCACAAGTCAGGGTTAGGAACACAAGAAGACCCAACCAACTAGCAGGGGGTCCTACAGCCTGA